TGTGTGTGTGTGTGAGTGTGTGTCTGTGTGTGTGTGTGTGTCCGTGTGTGTGTCTGCCTCTGTGTGTGTGTGTGTGAATGTGTCTGTGTGTGTCTGTCTGTCTGTCTCTGTGGTGAGTGTATGTGTGTGTATGTGAGAGAGAGAGATTGTGTGTGAGTGCATGTATGCGTGTGTGTGTGTGTGCGTGCGTGAAGGATTGAAGAAACCAAGTGTTGAGTGTATGTGTATGTGAGAGAGAGAGAGAGATTGTGTGTGAGTGTCTGTGTGTGTGTGTGTCCGTGTGAGTGTCTCTCTGTCTCTGTGTGCGAGTGTATGTATGTGTGTGTGTGCTTGTGTGTGTGCGTGTGTGTGCGTGAAATATGCTGAAATGTTCTCGTTAAGGTTTGAAGAAACCAAGTCCAGCCAGAAGGCAGAGGTGATGGGCTGGGGTTTAGCCAGGGAACAGCGAGAAGAGCTTGATGAGATTTGACGTTCCTGCAATGTCCCGGTGCACCCCAGAGCCCCCCAGCTCACGCACGGCCCCCCCAGGAGGCAGAGGACCATTGGCCAGAGGCAATGGGGCAAATCCCTCCTCTTAACCTCCTCTAAAACCATCCCCCTGCCCCTTTGCCCGCTGCCTGCTTCTCTGTCTCAGCGCCACGAGGGGCTGTGCTCACGGCGCTGTGTTTCATCCCATCCGTCCAGGAGGAAAAGCGTCCAGAGCTGCTAACAAGGAAGGGGCAGAATTTCAAAAGCAGAGATGAGAGTTAGGCACCTACGTTATCTCCTGCTAAATGGTGAAATCGATTTTAAAAGTGTCCTGATTATAAACTTTTTTAAAGCTTTATTGGACTCATATCTCCCCGTAAAACTCCAAATAGAGGGTGTCAGGTCACCAACCCCCTTCTCTCAACTGCATCTGACTCACCAGGGTGGACGTGACGAAAATCTTCACCATCAAGGAAAAAAGCCTCTGGACCCAGCTTGCCTGGAGTATCCGCCACAGACTGCCAGGCAGGGGAGAGTATTTATCCTGTATCCTTGCAGCAGCTCCTTGGGGGTCACACAGTCCACTGGGAACTCAAGCGGAGGCTGATGTTTGAACACGGGCTAATCAGGCAAAGAAGCCAGTTACAGCAGCAAGAGCTCTGTGACTTTTGCTGCTTGTATCCTTTATCCTACATGAGAACAGCAGAAAATAAGAATCACGAGGAGTCCGGTGGTACCTTCAAGACTAACAGATTGAACAGATTCAAATCTGTTAGTTTTTAAGGTGCCACCGGACTCCTCGTTGGTTTTGTGGATACAGACTAACCCGGCTGCCCCTCGGATAGCAAATAAGAACGGCCACAGCGAGTCACACCAATTCCATCTAGCCCAGTATCCTGAGTTGTGACAGTGGCCAGGGCCCAGGTGCTTCACAGGGAATGAACAGAACAGGGCAATGATCAATTGATCCATCTCCTGTCGTCTACTTCCAGCTTCTGGCAAGCAGGGGCTAGGGACATTCAGAGCATGGTTTTGCATCCCTGCCCAACCTGGCTAATAGCCATTGATGGACCTATCCTCCATGAACGTATCTAGTGCTTTTTTGAACCCTGTCATAGTTTTGGCCTTCAAAACATCTCCTGGCAATGAGTTCCACAGGTTGTACATTGTGGAAGAAGTACTTCCTTATACTTTTTTTAAACATGCTGCCTATTAATTGAATTGGGTGACCCTCGTCTGTGAGTTATGAGAAGGAGTAAATAGCATTTCCATATTTACTTTCCCCACACCATTCATGATCTTATAGACATCTATCATATCCCCCCCCTTACTCGTCTCTTTCCTAGGCTAGAAAGTCCCAGTCTTTTTAGTTTCTCCTCATACGGAAGCTGTTCCATACCCCTAATCATTTTTGTTGCCCTTCTCTGTACCTTTTCCAATTCTAATATATCTTTTTTGAGATGAGGCGACCAGAACTGCATGCAGTATTCAAGGTGTGAGTATGCCATGATTTATATACAGGCAATATGATATTTTCTGTCTGATTTATTATCTCTTTCCTAATGGGACCCAACATTCTGCTCGCTTTTTTGACTGTCACTGCACATTGAGTGGATGTTTTCAGAGAACTATCCCCAATGACTCCAAGATCTCTTTCTTGAGTGGTAGCAGCTAATTTAGATTCCATCGTTTTATATGTATAGTTGAGATTATATTTTCAGATGTGCATTACTTTGCATTTATCTACATTAAATTGCATCTGCCATTGGGTTGCCCAATCACTCAGTTTTGAGAGATCCTTTTGTAGCTCTTCACAGTCAGCTTTGCACTTAACTATCTTGAGTAATTTTGTATCATCTGCAAACTTTGCCATATCACTGTTTTCCCCTTTTTTCCAGATCACTTATGAATCTGTTGAACAGTAGTGGTGCCAATACAGACCCCTGGGGGACCCCACTATTTACCTCTCTCCCTTCTGAAAATTGACCATTTATTCCTAGCCTTTGTTTTCTGTCCATGTTACTGATCCATGAGAGGATCTTCCTTCTTGGACCTTGCTTCTTATCCCATGACAGCTCACTTTGCTTAAGAGCCTTTGATGAGGGACCTTGTCAAAGCCTTTCTGAAAGGCCAAGTTCATTATATCCTCTGGATCATCCTTGCCCACATATGTGTTGATGCCCTCAAAGAATTCTAGTGGATTGGTGAGGCATGATTTCCCTTTAGAAAAGGCATGTTGACACTTCCCCAACAAATCGTGGTCATCTATGTGTCTGAGAATTCTGTTCTTTACTATGGTTTCAACCAATTTGCCCAGTACTGAAGTTAGCCTTAGCAGCCTGAAATTGCCAGAATTGCTTCTGGAGCCTTCTTTTAAAAATTGGTGTCACATTAGCTAGCCTCCAGTCATTTGGTACAGAAGCTGATTTAAATGATAGGTTACATAATACAGTTATCCCATGTGACCCGTGACCCCAGATCTACTCTCTAGAGAGACACAGTTACCCTGTGTCACGCCAGTACAACATGGCTGGCCCCCACATGGCCTATTGGATACTCAGTGAGCGTAAAGGGCAGGGGAGCCCACATGGTGTCCTAGAGACAAGGCAGATGTGGATGAGCACAAGGCCTTGTGGACCATGGGTCACAGAGTGGGAAGTACAAGTCTGGCTCTCTGGATGGAAGGAAGCCATGAATAGGAACAGCCCTACACACACACACACACACACACACACACACAAGGAACACAAATCAGGTGTAAACGGGATTGGCCTTGGAGTGCCCTGTGGATGTGTGGCAGAGGTGAATTGGAGTGGCACCCGTGTCGCACCTTAGGCGCCCTGCATGTGTGTGTGAGCGGCTTTGCGGAGTACCTGGATCTGGGGCACTGCGGGATGGGGATGTCCCCTCTATAGCCCACCTTTGAGAACAAATGTGAGAATTTGGCTGTCTGGATGCACTGCATGTGAGAATGGGTCCCTCACCCCTAGCACCCAATGCCTGGGGCACGGGATTAGGCACAGCCCGGCTCTGCAGCCCTTTGTGTGCAGAGCTTCCAAACCCCATTGTAAGATGAGAGTGTAAAGTTTTGTTGTTTATTTATAGTGCCTGGCTCTCCTCCCTTCCCCCACCCCTCCGGGGCCACAGGTCCTGAGCAGTGAGAGACACAAACACACAGTAACAAGCAGACCTGCCCTAACACACACAAATGGGGGGAGGTGAAAGCGAGACTGAGTAGGGAAGAGAGGCACCCAAGGTCACAAAGCCAGTCACTGGCTGGGCTGTGATGTAGAACCCAGATCTCTGGGATCCCAGTCCAGTGTCCGGTGTCTGCTGCAAAGCAGCCTCCCAAAACAATCACTTTCCCCAGCAATCCACAGGCAGCACCAGCTCATTGGTTAAACCTTTCTATCTCCGTCCAATGACATGGTAGCGAGGGACTAGCATAGAGGGTCGCTGTCAATGCACCTCACACATGACTGAGGCTGTGACCGTCCCTGAGCCAGGCTGGACAGGTTTACTGGTTAGTTCTTCCAGCCCTTCCTTGGCTCTGCACCAGAGCAGTGTCCGGAGGGGCTCTCAGCCCTCAGCACCGGCTTATCAGCGCTCCAGCCCATGCTGTCGCTGCCTCCTGCCAGGGATCACTAGGTTGAAAACCATCAGGCCCACAGAGCAGGCAGCCACCGTCTGGCCCTGAACGTGTTGTAATTAACACCAGGTGGGGAGTTGACGCCAAAGGGCAGCATCTTTCAACTTAAATACCTGCGGGTGCTAAAAGAGGTCAGCGCGAGCCGTTGGGGAGAGTGCTGCACACTGGATGTTAGTTCATTTGTGTAATACATGGTCCTGATTTCCTAACTGTTAACAGCCCGGCCCATGTTAGATTGACAGTCACGGAGAAGCAGCCATGCACTGACTGAGGTACTGCCAGGGGAAAGACCATGTACGAATCTGCTGCTGGAACTGCCACTGTGGTCTTGTCATATTATTATTGTATTTGCATTGCTTTTATTTATAAGACATTTGCAATATCCCCCAGCTCCAAATACGAAAGAGTCTAGAACAGACATACGTTGTCAATTCAAGCTTAACATCACCTGCGTCGTACAAAGAATTGTGCATAATGTACAGATAAAATAGAGAACAAACATCCCCCGAAAGGCCACAATTCACCCACCTAATCTCAGACTTCGTGGCATCTCTTTTTTCATGGGCAACCAACCGCCCGATACAGAAATCATGATCCAACGTGTCAAATGATATGTGAGATTTTGGTTGCTTCAGTTTTTAGGTGCTCAATCGGAGATGTCTTCAAAGTGTCGATTTTCAGAGAACAAGTGCCCAACCCTGTTTGAAAATCAGGCCTTTTGCCATGTCTCCAGTTGGGTACCCCATAACTGAAGTCCCCCAAATCACTAGCCACTTCTGAAACTTTAAGGCATCCATCCATCCATCCATCCATCCATCCATCCATCTACTTACATACCAAAAAAACAGACATCAGAAACCATCTCTCATCCAGGTTGGGTTAGTTATCTAGAGAACATTTTGAGGATGCTCTTTCTAATCTCCTTGGTTTTTATACTGTAAACGATGGGGTTTATCACAGGGGGCACGAAGAGGTAAATGCTGGACATCAGAATGTGGACTAACGGCGGGACCTTCTCGCCATACCTGTGTATGACAGAGACTGTGATCATTGGAATGTAGAGTATTAAGACAGAGGAGACATGGGAGAAGCAGGCATTCAGGGCCTTAAGACGCTGCCCCCCAGACGCGATACTGAAGATGGTCGTCAGAATCAGAATGTAGGAGATGACAATAAGCAGCAAGTCTATTCCGAAGACAAAGAGAATAGCACATAAGCCGTAGATGTTATTGACTGTGATGTCCGCACACGCCAGCCTCATCACGTCCGGGTGCAGACAGTAGGCGTGGGAGAGGGCTTCGGCGCGGCAGAAAGGCAAGCGTTTAATAAGAATGGGCAATGGTAAAACCACACTGAAGCTTCTAATCACAACAGCCAGCCCGATTCTCACGATCCTGGGGTTGGTCAAGATGGCCGCGTAGCGCAGCGGGTCGCAGATGGCGACAAAGCGATCGAATGACATGGCCAGTAAAATCCCTGACCCCATGTTGGAAAAGGAGTGAATGAAAAACATCTGAGCCAGGCAGGCGTCGAACGCGACGTCTGTGACATCGAAGCAGAAGATGCCGAGCACCGTAGGCAGGGTCGACAGAGACATACCGAGGTCGTTGACTGACAGCATGCACAGGAACAAATACATGGGCTGATGGAGACGCCGCTCTGCCCAGATAATGCAGAGGACAGTGCAATTCCCTACAATGGCAGTGATGTAGACCACACAGAAAGGGATCGAGATCCAGTGGTGATCAGCTTCCTGGCCTGGGAAGCCGGTCAGTTGGAATGTGGCAGGATGGAAGCTGGTGCTATTGAAATCCACCATGATGAGCAGTTGCTTTCCCGATCAGCTCCAACCCCCTGTGTAAATGCAAAATGAACCTGAGAGTTACCCCGAGGCCAGGTGACCGGGAAGGGAGCTGCAGTTCAGCATTGACTTGCAGAATCCCAGTGTACAAGGGCCCTCTCCTGCAAGCCTGGAGCTGCTCTCCCCAGTGAAATCAAGGAGGAGTTGTTCTGAATCCAGCCAGAGCCAGGGTCCAAGGATTCACTCCCAGCCCTAGCTCGTTCAAAGGGAACCAAGAGATTCTGCTCCCACAGTTCCGATGTCCACAGTTCTAGAACGTTCCTCAGGAAGGAGGTTGGTGAATTGGTCACATTCAGAGGAGAAGTAAGGGGCACATTGTTAACAGCAAGGGAAATTAACCCTTTGCAAGGGCAGCTGTGAATTCCCCGTCCCTGGCAACGGAGACTGCTCTAGTTCAGTGGTTCCCAAACTTTAACAGCCCGCGAACCCCTTTCACTAAATTGTGAAATCTCGTGACCCCCTCCTCAAAATGA